GGAGGAAGATAGAATGAGAGACTGAGAATTTGCTGATGGTGTAACAAGTGTAATCTTGAAGTGTGTTTAGTTTTTTAGCAGTAAATTTTCCCCTCTTGCAATGGACCATCTTTGTAATATAATCGTCCATGGATATGAAATAAATATTTTCCAAGACTTTAGTCCTATTCATTTGTATGTCTTATTCTTCTGTAAAGATTAGCTAAACATGGACCCAACACGAAGATTGTTAGGTAGTAATCAAAAGACAAGAAGTCACCCGACTCAAAATTGATCATACAACTGAAATGGTAAAGACGGACAAGCATGTCGGAAAAAGGTTTTGGATCAATTTGACGCCTACAAACAAGTTTTAAGAAAGTCTTTCAAGTTCATCATACAACACATTTAAGAAAATAGTGAGATGGAGATGCTATTTTAGAAAATTAATGTCACTTAGACAACAATCTAATAAACTTTATACATTTAAGATTATCATAGACTCGAAGTTAGCAATATATAAAAATGAAAAACTAGTCAGTTACACTTTGCAGGATTATTCTTTGCAGTATTTATTCGAGCGTCGAAGTCTCTTTAATCATCACATCCCCAATTTATGCGATGATCAAAAGTCGAAGTAAGATTGTTTTAAGAAAGTGGAAGTGAGAGGATTAAGGTGGCAAATGAAAGTATAGGACATGGAGATTAAAAATTTATGGTCCGACAGATGAAAAAAAATAATAATAATAAAATAAGCAAGAATAATTGATAAACATGAAATCCAATTTTATGCATAACATCAAGAGGTGCCACCAATTCCTCGTGTGGCTCGACACGGTCTACCCTTAGACTCGACATGACCTATTTCTTGTGTGTGCTATTTTGCAGGACAATCACATACGATCGATCCAATTTGAGATAGGTTTTTCATTTTTGATTATTGTGAATTTAAAATGAAGATAAAGGATGAAAAAATTAAAATTATTATTAAACGATTGTGAAATAAATTGTACAATTTTATTAATAAAAATACTTTATCACGATATATATAATTATTATGTCTAGGACTCTAATATTCATCTAAAAAATACTTCACTAACCCACTTTAAGAAAATTCTTTTTATTTTCAATAAGTACTTACTGACTTTAATCAAGCATTCCTATATCTATAGATTACGTGGCATGTTCAGACAGAGGATATGCTGACTTGACATTGATTATTTAAT